CTCGCGTGGACGAGGCAGGGGAGGCTACGTTCCGCGTGGACGAGGCGGATATGCACCCTACGCAGCCCGCGGAGGAGCCATGGGCCCTAACCGCTCGCTTCGCATCGACAACCGCACCACTCGACTCAAGATTGAAGACCTACCCACCGGCGCTGACGCGAACAAGGTCAAGGAACACTTTGCAAGTTTTGGCGAGGTGGACACGTTCGACGCGTCCGCAGGTACTGTGGTGTACAAGGCCAGGAATAGCGCCGAGCAGGCCCTGAGGGCCGGCGCAGAGATCCCAGATGTAGGCACTGTCAAGCTGTCGTGGATTCAGCCTCCACCCACGCCCACCGCCACCACATCGGCTCCTGCAGCAGCAGCAGCAGCAGCGGCGGCTGCAGAGGGCGATGAGGCTTCACTCAGTAACGAAGCGGCAGGCGCAGGTGCTGATGGTGGAAATGAGGAGTATGATGAAGATAGGGACTCCAGCTGGAAGCGTTAATGCTCTCCCAAAAAGAAGCGCTATTGTTGCGTGCAGTAGATGTGTTGCTTTGCTCAATTGCAGTCTTTCGACCATGCACCCACGCAAATGCGGGGGGCGCTTTGGCTAACAGTTTGCCAGTTTGTACCCATTTTTTGTCTTTTGCATGTGCGTGTGTGCGATCTGCCCGAAGATGACACCTTTGATCCCTGCCCTGATCGGCAACGGCTCCTTAGCGTCGTGCATCCATTGCAATCTCTTTACTCGCAATCACAAATCGATTCGAAAGGGTGAGTATCCATTAAAGCAAAATGGTGAATCAACAGTGTCGAAGCTATCTAAATGGACGACAAGATTGGTGCAGCTGAGCAAACTTATGCGGAGTACATCTCCTCCTTGAGCTGGATGCCGAGCTCTTCACGAACGCCTTTGAGGGCGTCGACGTACTGCTTGTATTGGTTCTCGTTCTCGACCTTCTGCTTGATGCCTTCAAAGATGCGAACGGCGGTCGAGTAGTCGTTGACACGACGGCTGGCACGGAGGGCCGACTCGATGACCTCGGGCGAGGGGACGAGGTCGTAAGCGAAGCAGTTGTTCAATCCACGCTGCAGCTCGAAGAGGTCCTCAACAGCGTCGAAGAATCCGACGTAGCGGGAGTTGAAGGCGTCAAAGGACTCCTCCTCATGGTGGGCGGCGTATCCACGGACTGCGTGAAAGAATGACGAAAGGGTGAAGTTGATATAAAGCAAAGGCAAATATAAGGTCAGCATGCTATTGCGTGAAGCTTTGGCAAGCGCTTGCGCGATCAAGCAATGGTCGTCGCTTCCAAGATGGCAGCCAATGATCCAGTGTCAGGCGGCGCATGGTCGGTCATGGTAGAGGCAGCAACGAGAGCAAACGGCAGAAGCAGCAGGAGCCAAGAGTCGATAGGTGCAGCTGAACGGCCGTTTGTGGCGATGACTGATGTGGAGTATGACGGTCTGGACTGTTGATGGACATGCCGACTGTTTGAATGTGCGACAATGCACCTTTCCAGGCATAGCGACTAGGCAAAGTAGAACTGAATCGGGGCGTTGCTGTGTGAACATTGGCTGATGCATGTGATGGCTGATGGCGCAGGGTATAATGGTATGGATGGTGAGCTGAGCAGCTCTTCTATGGGGTATGCTGACCACTGAGCACCGGCTGATGAAGGTGTGAGACTGGTCGGAAACGGCAGATGTTGTGAAGATAGTGGCTGGCAGAATCGATGCTTGCTGGCAAACTAAAGCGACACCATGGAACGTATGCTTGCTATGCTAGAAATGCGCCAGGTTTGGAGTGAAATCAGCAGACGCCGTATAACTTGTGACTGTGAGAGTCAAGGGTGATGCGGATGCTGCTGTTGTTGGATGGATTGCGGGTATTGATACTGGTGTTCGTGTTGATACTGCTGCTGCTGCTGCTACTGCTGCTACTGCTGCTACTGCTGCTACTGCTGCTACTGCTGACGCTGGGATTGATGGTGTTGAACCGTCGGGCATGTGCCAAAGGCATGCGATGCGAGCCAGATCGAGATGGATGGAAGCGTTGAGAGAAGCGATGAATTGCGGAGAAAAACTTACGCTGCTGAGCGACGGCAACAGGGGCGGCACGGCCGAGGAGGGCAGCACGGGCCGAGGTGCTGACGGCGGCGGTTCGGATGGCTCCGGTGAGGAAGGACATGGCGAAAGATGTGATGTGTGATGAGGATGGGTGACGAAAGGTGGTGGTGACGAAATGAGCAACAGAGGTGGATTGGGAATTGGATTTACGGGGCGTCGGAAGAAGCGTCGCTCAAGATTCTTGGGCCAAGCGTGGAGTCGATGATGATCCTTCCGGTCGCTGGCCGCCGAAAACAAGCAAACTACTGTATCACATTGCCATCTGCTGCCTTGAAAGTCAAGCTTTCAGCATCGGAAGCGACGAAATTTCCACCTTTTTCCTACTCTCTGCCCTCCTGACTTTGCCGTTGATTTCGGATTTCAAATCTGCCAAATCCAAAGAGCGCGTTGCGATTTTGGCCATTTTGTATCGCACGAAAACAAGATACAGTACTGTACAGTACCTCGTTGGATCGATCAATTTTGAATCTCAGCGTGGTCGACAAGACGTGGAGCTTGTGCGGGCTGCGCTCGAACCAGCTTGAACCCAAGTCTGTGATTTGGCTCGTGTCCCGCGTTGACCTGTCCCGCTGTCGTGTCACACGCAACACAGCCGATTGAGCTTTGCAGACAGTCTATTCGAGATCGGCACACCTTCTTCTCAACACCACACTCGTCCTCCTCGCCATCACAATCTCAGCCACTTCCAGCGCCTTCTAATTCTTTTCGATATACGAAGCGCATCTCTTCCGGTTCCTAGTGCTCTGGCTGTCACCTTGACACACGTCTTGCATACGCCGTGCTATCATTTCGGCTTACCTCTTGCTTCGCTTCGCAACGGCTCCAACACAGCTCTACGCGCATCTGCATCTTGCCATCTCATACAGTCACCCTACCTACCAGCATCTCATCTCTCACAGCACCACATAAATCAACATGGTCATCCTCGCAGCTTCCGTTTCCACACGAGGCGGCAAGCCCGTCATTAGCCGCCAGTTCCGTGACATGCCAAGATCAAGGATCGAAGGCCTTCTCGCCTCCTTCCCCAAGCTCATCTCGGCAGGCTCTCAGCACACCTCGGTCGAGACCGATGCCGTCCGCTTTGTCTACCAGCCCCTCGAGGACCTTTACATGATCCTCATCACCAACAAGAACTCAAATATCCTCCAGGACATTGACACACTCCACCTCTTTGCCCGCGTCACTTCCGACATCTGTAGATCACTCGACGAAAGCTCCGTGCTTCGATACAGCTTCGAGCTTCTGGGCGCATTCGACGAAATCGTCTCGCTAGGCTACCGTGAGAATGTCAACTTGACCCAGGTCAGGTCCATCCTCGAGATGGAGTCGCATGAGGAAAAGATTCAAGAGATCATCGAGAGGAACAAGGAGATGGAGGCAAAGGAAGAGCTCAAGCGTCGTGCCAAGCAGCTCGAGATGCAGCGCAGGGACGCCGCTCGTCGTGGCCAGATGGGCGCCAATTCTGGCGGTTTCGGATCGTCCGGTGCATACAGCGCCGTCCAGCAACGCTTCGAGCCACCACCCACCCACGCTCCGGTCCAGACCGGCTTCTCTTCCAGCTCAACTCCCGCTGCCAAGCCCTTCAAGGCAAAAGGTATGCAACTCGGCAAAAAGTCAAAGGGCGCCGACCTCCTTGGCGCTATGGACGGCGATCTCGCTGCTGCTGCTGCTGCTGCGGATCAAGAGCTCACCGCCGCTGCCAACGCTGCTTCCGCCTCTCTTGCTGCTTCGTCTAGCGCTCCCGCCGCTCGTGCCGCAACAGCAGCTGCACCAGCCGCCATCGATCCACTCGATCTGCTAGACCCCGTCCACCAGGAGCCAGTACACGTCGTCATCAAGGAGCGCATCTCCATCTCGGGTAATCGCGATGGTGGACTCGAATCGCTCGAGATCAAGGGTGATCTGTTGCTTAAGATCACCGACCCATCCCTCGCCAAGGTTCGTGTCCAACTCGCACCACCAGAGGCCGGCAACATCGTCCTCTCCGCTGGCGATCTGCAGTTCAAGACCAACCCGCAGGTCGACAAGGCCGCCTGGTCTTCGGATCGCATCATTGCGCCGCGTGATGCAAGGAAACCTTTCCCCGTCAACCAGTCGCTCGGTGTATTGCGATGGCGCATGGTCACAAAGGACGAGACCGCACTTCCATTGTCCATCAACTGTTGGCCCTCACCCAACGGCGAAGGCGGCTGCGACGTAAGCATCGAGTACGAGCTTGAAAACGAGGACTTGGGCGAGCTTCGAAGCGTCATCATCGCCATCCCCCTTCCCCAAGGCTCTGTGCCCACCGTCGAATGCCCCGATGGTTCGTGGGCCGTCAACGAGGAGACCAACAACCTCGAATGGAGCCTCGAATCAATCTCGTCGGCAAACAAGTCTGGCAGCCTCGAGTTCTCCGTCACAGAGGGCGCAGAGAACGTCGACGTCTTCTTCCCTGTCGTTGTCGATTTCGTCTGCGAAAAGACGCTCTGCAACGTCACTGTCGCCGATGTCGTGCTTACGGATACCAGCGCAAAGACTGCATTCTCTCAGCAGTCGGTGCTCAGTGCCGAGACTTACGTCATCAACTAGTGTAGCGTGATGACCACAGTGCTTGTACGCACATGCCACCCCACTTTATTTCTTTGTTGTTCTAACCCCTTTGACAATAAACCACGCATTTCTATCTCTTCCATCCCAAGTGAGCGCGTGCCTTGATCGAGAGGCTATTGGCAGGTCACGACAGCTTCAATTTGCCTCTCGCTGTCCAGCTTCGCCTGACTCTGCCGGTTGAGCCGATACGACTGAGAAGGAGCTAAGGGGCACAAGGGAGTGAGGCCTGTGCTTGGTGCCTTGATACCCAAACAGGGTATATGTATTCATATTGACGCGACTAGATAAGCACATTTCCAGCTTCAATCGATTAACGGTTAAATCACGCCCTTCACAAAAGCTCAACTTTCGGGCGAGCCCCCGGTTCGATTCCGGGTTGAAGCAAAAAAAAAAATTGATCAGTTCTGCTACCCCCTTTCATCCTTTTTTTGCGGTTGTGTTTCTTCAAAATTTCTAGGAAAGAGATGAAGATCTGGGCGCAACTGGACGGCTTACACATGGCCCATGAGCCTCTTTTTCGCAGTACAGTACTTCGACGGCACGGACAATGGTCAATAAGGGGCGGAGCAGGTGTCATTTCAACGAAAAAGAAGAAAGCAAAGAGGACGACCATCACGAACCGCTCGCAGAGACGAAACAAAAACGACGAATTTGGCAATCTCACAAGATGGAGAAAGACTACGGAGGGGGAGCAGTGGTCATGTTCTTCTCGATCATCTCCTCCTGGGCCAACATCAAGGTTTGCTGCTCGGCCCACATTTGGTCCGTGGGGAGGAAAGGCATCCAGGACTTTTCGTAGCTAGGCAAGTTGGTAATCTCGACCACACCGTCAACACGGGTCGAGTCGTCGCGGATGCGCAAACCGGTCATGGTATTGAACTTGATGGGGGGCACGTTGGGGTCGCCGTTGATGCACATGAGAACCTTGGGGGGCTTCTTCTTGGCGGAATTGTCCGTAGCATCGCCGGATTGGCGCTTGTTCAACAAGGAGTCTGACTCGAGGACGTCCCGGCGCGAGAGACCGCTGCCACCGGAACCACCGCCACCGGCAATAGCACGAGTGTATTGGTCAATCGTCATTAGTCGACCTTGGTAGCGGATGTAGCCGGGAGGGACGCTGTCACCTTGCTGGCCTTCATCATCATTGATGCCATCGCCATCGCCACCGCCCATACCAGCACCGGCTTCTTGCTGGCTGTAGGCACCACCGTAAGAGCCTCCACCTCTGCCCATTCCTCCACCACCACCACCACCTCCTCCTCCTCCTCCTCCTCTTCCCATACCATCGCCGTACATGCTTTCGCCGCCACCACCTCCTCCTCGTCCCATACCATTACCATACATATCTTCGCCGCCACCACCTCCCATACCACCACTGTACATCCCACCGCCACCTCCCATGCCTCCACCGCCTTCTCCCATACCACCGCCACCCATACCACCTCCTCCACCACCGCCACCGTAGGAAACACCTCCTCTGCCGTTCATACCACCACCGCCGTTCATACCATTACCGCCGTTCATACCATTACCGCCGTTCATACCATTACCGCCGTTCATACCATTACCGCCGTTCATACCATTACCACCGTTCATACCATTACCGCCGTTCATACCATTACCACCGTTCATACCACCACCGCCGTTCATACCACCGCCACTTCCGTACATCCCACCGCCACCTCCCATGCCTCCACCACCTCCTCCCATACCACCGCCGCCCATACCACCGCCACCCATACCACCGCCGCCCATACCACCGCCGCCCATACCACCGCCGCCCATACCACCGCCGCCCATACCACCGCCGCCCATACCACCGCCGCCCATACCTCCTCCACTACCACCGCCACCGTTCATGCCACCGTTCATGCCACCGCCCATGCCAGCAACGTCACCACCAGCACCAGCACCAGCACCAGCACCAGCACCAGCACCAGTACCAGTACCACCGGGCTGCTGACCACCAGCACCACCAGCACCACCAGCACCGATACTGGTGGGATGAGCCTCATCAGGAGGCGTAACATGCAGACACACATATCCGCCGACAAGACCGTTGCCCTCCAGCGTTTCACTTGCAAGACGAGGTATCATACCGGTAGCGTAAGGGTACGGCATCTTGGGCATCACGCCCACTGGGCCCGTGACTGCCTTGGGAATGTGGCTCTCATCGCGCGCTGGGACGGGAACAGGGCCAAACATCCAGTCAGAAGCCTTAGACGAAATGTGCGTCAGCCACGACATGAAGCTTCGTGCTTCGATGCGGCGCCTGCATGATGCCACCAGAGCAAAGTATTTCACAGAGAGGGGTAGAGTAGGGTTAGTCAGCTAGGCCAGAAGATGAGAGAAGGCGAAAGAGAAAAGGTGAAACTTACCGAACCATGCGTGGGTGGTGCGGCATCATAGGCTGCGAGCCTTCCACCTCGATTGCGAGCACGACAGGTATGATGACCAGCAGCAGTGTGAGCAGCTTGGCCATGTTGATGGAAAGCATGCCTCTCATCGTAAATGATCGTTTTGCCGAAACTTGTTCAGCGGGAGTTTCGAAAAGCCTCAAGAAAGGTCGCAGAAGGCGAGAAACGAGGGAGGGAAAAAAAGGGGGGGCTCGTTCTCTCTCGCCTTTATATAAGACCAAGAGAGAGCCACGGCAGCCGGTCAGACTTCATCAAGCTTTGAGAGCGAATCGGTGGGTCGGATGCCACCAAAAGCCCACCGCTGCTGATTTTGCAGTGTCGGTTGCCTGAGCTTTGATGAAATGCTAGGGGTGCGGCCCACCAACAGGCTGACGAGCTGGAAAAAGGTAGCTCAAAGTCAATCTCGTGTTTGTGAAGAGGGCCGATCGGGACATGATGTCGTCGTTGTAGGCCCACCTCCTAATTCGCCTCTGGGTTTCGGTACGTCGCTCTAAGAAGCCTAACTTGACTTCGTTTCGCTCCTCTTCAAGAGGTCTGTCCGCAGGATGAGCCCAAGCTAGCCTGCTACGGCATGACTGTGTGTGCATACAGTCCTTCAGACTTCAGATGAGAAACAGTATTGTGAAATTGAAATCGGCATAAAAGAGGGGACCATGTGAGCTTTCTGGTACTTTTTTCCGCAACGATAGCTCCTGAGAACATCCCTCGTCGACGTCGTCAACTCACTTTATCATGCAAATCCTTCAATCGCTAATCATACTGGCTCTATTCGCTAATTTAATCGGAGAATCGAAAGCAGAATCATTGGTGCAAGGGGCCGTTACGTCTCCGAAGCGCAAATGCAGCAGCTAAAGCAGTCAAGGCACCGAAGGCCGAGGTGCCGACAAGCGCAAGGAAACCACGTTTGTAGCGGGGTGCATCGCTGGCGCGAAGCACCTGTGCGCCCACCAAGCCCGCGGCATTGTTGGCCATGACCAATAGAGCAAGTACGATGGGACGCTGGCGCGAGTGCACGCTGCCGCTGATCCAAGAGCCCATGACGCCAGCATACGAGGCACTGAACGCAGTCATAACCAGAGCTCCGACCAGCAATACAGAGCGCAAGGTGTCATGAGGCGGCAGCGAGATCCAAAGGAAGCCGCAGATGCCTCCCAGCATGTATGCTGCCACCCAATATCCGTGATTTCGCCACTTGGACACGCATGCTCCTGCTGTGAGGCTGAGGGCAATTCCCGCAACGTAGCCTGGAACGGCCAGTCCGTTGGCACTGTATCCGCGAAAGCCGAGTTGCTTGATAATAAAAGGTACATAGGTTGCTACAGGTGTGGTTGCAATCATGCCAGAAAAAGCCGACAAGATGATCAAGAGCATACGCCAGTCTGAGACCGAGTCTACGATGTCAGCAAGTGTGATCTTGCCCCTTTGTACTTCGTTGCACTTGGTAGGATCGTCGACAAGCACGCGCGTCATCATGATCCTTCCTTGACGCTCAGTGTACCATGCACGACGAATTTTTGACCCTTTTGGAACGACGGTCCCATCAGGGAACCAAAGGAGAGCAAAGATGCCTGCAACCATGGTGAAAATACCTTCGATGATGAACAGCCAGGACCATCCTGCAAGGCCAGCCGTTCCACGCAGCTTAAGGATGCCCAATGAGGCGACTCCGGCAATGCAGCTGGCGACGTTGTTGGCACTCCAGAACAAGGCGTAGCGAGCCGCCAGTTCGTCCCGACGATAGAAGCGGCCTAGATAGTAGGCGAAGCCAGGGATGAAGCCTGCCTCAAAGGTACCTACCAGGGCTCTGGTGACATAGAGCTGATGATGGTTGGTGATCCAAGCCTGACCAACGGTGACAGCACCCCACAATATGACAGTGATGGGCAGGAAGCGATTAGGACCATACCTCTTGGCAAGAATGTTCCAAGGGATTTCAAAAATGACGATTCCGAGGTTGAAGATGGTGATAGCATTGTTGAGCTGGTTTTGATTCATGCCGAGATCGTGCAGAAAGTTGTCGGTGAGAGCGTTGGCAACATTGCTCCTGTCGAGAGAAAGGGTTATAAAGACGACCATGGCCGGAATGAGCGCGAGCAAGTCGGTTCGTCGCCGAATCCTGTTCTCTTCCTCTTGAGTCCAGACGAGCTGGTCATCGTAGCCCTCTTGCATCATCAGCCGTGTGCGAATCTCTGGAGACAGTGCATCACGCTCTGACATGGTCTTGGAGACCAGATCAACACGGTTTCGTCGTAAAATAAATGGTCGATAGTAGCATGATGAGCTACTATGGGATCATCGTTGCTATGCTTTGACAGTGACGGCAACTTCTCGACGGATTGAGAGAGCGACATGTTGATCGAGTCGCTGGGGTTGTAGCGTTTGAGGAAAGGGAAAGGGGTTTGCCAAAAGCAATGTGAACTCTTTTATCTTGTACGTCTATGCATTTGATGAATCGTATGGAAACGATCAAGTAAAGTGCGTCCTGCATCTGCACTAGCAGCTGTGCAATGGATCGGCAGCAATAGACATGCTGCACAGACCAGCACGCCGTAGTTTTAGAGGAAACGTTCCTGTCAAGTGCAATGTTCGACAGGTTTTGAAAATTAAGCGATTCGTCCACGCTTCAAAAATGGCGTGCCTGGACTTGGTGGCGTGCCTGGGCATGGTCGCATGACATGAGTTCTAAAATATCCAAATGGTTGGCGACACGGCTTGGTAAGAATGATGACAAAAAGACAAGATCGTCGGTAAGCACGCCATAGTACAAGGTCAACCTTATATCCTATCAATGCATATCACTCTGTCTATTGAGAGTCCTACCACTGCTCAGCAGAGCGGCACGTTGTTTCTGGCACTGCTAAATGTCGATCCGCGGCTGTAGAAGCGTATGACGCTTATAAAGATGACTCTGCCCGTTCTCGTAACTGCTTCAGCTTCCTCCATCCCCCACTAGCTTCCTTACGTTCG